CTAGCCACTATTTCAGGCCTAGAAACCACACGGTGTCAGCCTCTAACTCACCGGATTCAATCCACACAGAACCCCCAAAAGGAAGAAGACAGAGAACCAAAGTCGAGAGTCTAAGAGAGAAGAATAAGAGAGTCGTATGGTAGAAGCTACGGTTTTATTCGAAACATGGTCCAAATAAAATATCTAACCCAAGAATAAAACCCAGCCATAGATCAAAATAGAGAGCCACAAATAATCCTCAACAAACACACGATCCGGGTCCTCTTCATGTCACCAATAAGTGAGTGCCACCTAGGTAACAATAAGAGTGGGTAAAGAAACCGGCCCAACAAAGTTAGGAGAACCACAAAAGGCCCAATAAGCCCACATTAATGATATTTTAAGGAGTTCGATGAATATGTAGTTGGATATTTCGAATTCAAGTTTCATTCCATTATTGGAAACATGGAGGTACTTTTCAACTACATTTTCAATGAGAAGTTCTAAATGTAACAAAGATACTTGAAAAACTTCATCTATATTAACTTCAAGGTGGTGCCATCTTAAAAGGATAAGTGCAAGGTCGTAACAGCACTAAATGTCATGTAGAACAAAAGAATTCGGGTATTTATGTATGAAGTGTCACTAGTGTTGTCGAAGGAATAACTAGTTAAAAGTTTTCATGCTACCTTAAATTTCAATATCACTTTTGGAAACATACACTAAGATTACCAAAAATATCGTTTTATTAGGAATCAGAACTTGTTTTAATTTGAACAAGTGTAGGATTCTTGTAATTTTTTCGAAAATAACAATATAAATTAGGATGTTTTGAATGCTTTCTAAAGATAGAGAGACGTGAAATAATGAATGGAAACATGGTAGAATAAATTTCAAGGACAACTCAAGGCGGACTTGGCTTTTGGAAGGCAAGACCAGAGGCCACAGGTTCCTGGCCCGCAACCAACTGCGACCTGCAGGATCTCAAGGCCTACATTTTGCGTTCATGGGTAGTTGATAGTTCAATCTTTGACAGAAAATTGTGTTTTTTCACCATTCAATTTGTTCATTGATTTGAAGGGTGCCTCCAATATCTCTATATATTGATGATTGTTAGATGGCAAACATTAATTCTTTAGTCTTAAGCTCTTCATTATTCCTACCTCTCGAGGCTTGATTAATACTAGGAGCTATTTGCCGGTGTATCCCGTAAGCAATCTCAAGGGCGAGAGGGGACAAATATCATTTTAGGACAACGCTTTCTATGTGTTCAAGTTTCTGATTTCAAGTTTATTATTTCCTTTTTTATGATTTTATTTGATCTTCATCTTCTACATTTATTGTGGACACAGCGCGAAACAAGGAATTCAAACGAAAATTTTAAGAAAACAATTTTAAAATCCACCAAATTATGAAGAAATAAACTCACGAAATTTTATTAATGTAAGATAATGAAAAACGATGAAGTAACCATTTATTTATAAGAATTTACATGAAAACCTAGTTTAAACAAACTAAAATTGCAAAAAATTTGAAATAAATTTAATGACAAAATTAGTAGTAAAACTTTAAAAATAGTTTTCAATTCCTAAACAAACTCGGAATGGTATTATGGGCCCAAATCAGAGTTCAGACGCCACGTCTGCACTATTACGTTTTTCTTTTTTCGATTTAATTCTTTTTCAATCCATTTAGTCATCCATTCTACATTAATGACATTTGATTCTTCTCTTATTTTGATATATATTTAGGGATGTCAATTTAGCTTGTCGATTCGAGAGGGTTCGTGGCTTGGCTCGTGACTTGATGATCGAGCCTCTCTCTAATGACGGCCCAAGCCGGCCCGTGACATGATGGGCCGTCTGCTTGCCGTCAAGGGGCCAAAAAAAATTTTGAGCAAGCCTCAGTTTTTCGACCGAGCTTATGTCCAGCTCGAGCCAAAAAAGCCCTAATCTTTGACTCTCATCCCTGAACGCACGATTGATATTGAATGCCCTGAACGTATTCTCGTAACAGATGATGATTAATGTGATATGATTGAATTATTAACAAACACAAAATAAGAATTTAAACTATAATAGAAAGCTACTTGAAATTTATTCAAACGTTCAACTGCAAAAATACAATTCTATATCTTTTACAGCTTTAATATAAAAGAAACTGCAGCATACACAACCCATGCAAAGGACACTGAAATGAAAGTAATCTTGATAGGCATTCTTCCATTATCACTTCTTAGAAACATGGCTTCATAAATAGGCCAACAATTCACTACCCCAAAACTTGCAATAAGCATCTGAAAAATCAAGGAGTCCATATTTTCGCCCCTTAGGATTTTCAGAAACCCCATAATCAACGCTGTTAAATTCAAAACTGCACCTATCGAAAATGGCACGAAAATGGGTGAGGGAACCCCAAATTCAAATTTCCCTTCATAATACCTTTTGTTTTGTTCATTGTCAACTACTTTGCTGGTTACTTCAAACCCTCTTGTGGCAATGCCCAAGTGATTGATAATGTGCTCTAACGATCCGAATAAATCAGAAGACAGTGACCTTATGAGCCACATTCTTTGATCGCTCCACCACCGTAGGATTGTCCCTCGGGCTAAGACGAACTCCAGGCAATCTTGTCCATAGGCCCCAAGAAATAGGAATATGAACAAGAAAAACCATGGATCCCATACCTATAACAAATGTTCAGAAGAGAGAAAATAGAATGGACGGATGGTGTAGAACAGAGAATGAGAAAAATGGCCATTGTTTTTTGACTTCCATACAGTACTTTTCTCTTCCATGTTTCGCTACCCACGGATGAATCAAGGGTGGGTTTGTTGTATCAAGGAAACTAGAAGATAAATATTTTATAGGAGAAAGGTCAATAATGGTAAAAGAAAAGGATGCCATAAGTTAAACTGAACATGTTTAATGAACTCGATGAACAGTACACTGAATTGAATGAAGTACATTCAGTGAACCGAGCATGTAGAGTACAATAAATTAACATGATATGCTAACCAATGACAATAAATTAGTTTTAAACGAAAAAGTAAAACGTGGCCATTATTTACTTTTCCCATCATGTGACTTCTTCAAAAAAATTCCTCTTATTCTTTCACTTGTTACGTACCTTTGGGAAGACAGAGAAGTTGTTGAGCAGGGCTATCTGAGGAAGGCAGGCGTACACTGCGACAGGGAATGACAAAAGGGGGCCAAAGGCATAGTATGCATAACAATGAGCCTTTAAAGGTCCAAGAAACCGAACGCCAAAGACTAAAGGACTATGCTTGGAGAAAGACACCTCCAGGAGGCCTAAGGCCCATCTCTTGGTCTGGTTCAGCGAATCATTAAGGGATATTGGCATTTCGCACAAAAACGATGCTCTTTCGGGATTACAATATACTGACTTCCATCCCTCGCAATGAAGCCGATAACCGGTATAATAGTCCTCGACTAACGAGCCATATCTAAACCCAATCTGCAAAATACAGAAGAACCTGCGGTTTCAATAAATTGATAATGCTGTACATAGATGACGACCAGAAAATATCATTTTTAATGTAATAAAAGGTTTACCTTGGAACCCCAATTGGTCTGGTTCTCATAATTGCAACCTGCTACATGGTGGGCTAGCTCTAAACTTGACTGATTTTTTATACTCCTATCAACAAAATTATCTGGGTTCAATTCCACAATTTCTGGTTCGATAAATGATGATGGGGCACCATAGAAAATGCGTCGACGAAAAAATGTACCAGTCCCAAAGTAATCCGGGCCTGATAAACCATTCATGCCCACCGGGTTTATATAAAACATACGCCTAAACTCGGACGCATAGATATCGGCCTTGTTAAGCCCATCGAAACGTTGAGGGTACTGAACAAAACCCAATTTCGGAGTATTGTCCAAGAAGTGACACAGCATTTGATGAGGCGTTGATGGATCATTCGATATCATGTCACAATCTAAGGTCAGTATAATTGGTGCATTTGTCAATACTGCCGAAACTCGAAGCTTTAGAACAAACGAAGCACACAATTATATTAGACAAACAAAAATGATGTTCGAGATTGTCAACTGACTAGGTTATAAGCAATTTGTCAATACATTACCAGTGCATTAAGGGCTCCTGCCTTAAAATGGTGCTCGGATGTCCTGCACTTCTCTCTAGACACATAGACGAGATTTGGCATTGAATGGCCTCTAATATCCTTCTCATTCCCAGCTTGTGACACTACCTGTCCAACCTAGTATCTTTTAGGAAACAAATATCCATATGTTTCTCGTTGATTTCTCTCTAGACAAATAGACGAGAATTGGCATAGAATGGCCTCTAATTTCCATTAATTTATATTTGGATGGTTCGTAACAAATACGAGCCACCAAAGAACTCAATAAACCCGACGACATATTTGATACTATGTAAAGTTGAAGATTGTCATGATTCAATATATCACATTTGAGCTCAAGGAATTGATACATGGTTAATGGTTTAGCATCAGTATTACCTTTTACGACCAATCAAATTTTACTTATCAAATTAAAATACTTCCAACTGAATTCTGCTAAGTGATTAATAATTGATAAAATACAATAAAAGAACGTAATTTTACCTGAATTACAGTGGGATGATCTTGACGAGTAAATCCCTCGTTCCATTTGCCAATGGCTTCAGCTTCTTCCTCACTGGTTTTGTACTCGTCAATAATTTTCCCTTTCTCAACTACACTTTCTACTCTTCTTTTAATATTCTCATACATCGTCTGCAGTGAAATCTAGATTTAAGCTTTAACCTTTGTGGCATGTTTGATCAGTTAGATAGTAACGAAGAAATCGAACAGTAATATAGTATTAAAAAAAAGAAGCTAAACATGAAGAGAGTAGAGTTTTCTTCACGAACTTCAAGCACTATGCAGCCTTAACGTCCCATTGAACCAACCCAACTTAGCTCGAGGCCAAGTTTTAGCCACCAAAAATGACTCAGACAAAGCTGTAAACATTACCTTAATTTCAGAGTTTGAACAAGAATTCGATCTGAAATAAGCTTCGGGGCACCTGTTCAAAACCTTATTCTCCCGACAGAACGGCAGCCAATAGTTTCCAAATTTAGCAGCCTCCATCAAAGCGAAGAGAGTGAGCTCGGATCCTCCATCATCCGATACATAAATCGACAACTTTTCTGCCGGATAATCATATGCCATCACCGATAGAGCCGTGTTTGCCACCGTCATTGGCGGTTCTTTATAAGGATCCGCCGTGCATATAAATATGTCCAAGGCTGGAAAATTTTCCCGATCACAAATTTTTTCGATCTTTTCGGGGAAGACATTTTCAATAACTGGATTCATACGAAAGGCCTGGGAATTCAGCCACATAAAGCCCAGTATAATATCAGATATTAGCAACGATGTGGATATGAAGAAAGCACCATAGGTGGGGGAGTAGAGGAGACTTTCTGCGTGATGGTAGAGGAGAGCCAGGATGGCAGAAAAGTAAATAACGGCAAAGGCACGGTTGAGAAAACGGCGGCGCAGTCGCTTGGATGAGTGTAGGGGGAACTTGGGTGTTGAAGTTCCCATTTTCCGGCAGCCCTGCTCCGTCTTCACAATTTGTAAGTACTAACATTTGCATTTAAATAATCAATGAATCAGTAAAAGACAAATTTCAATTTCATTGTCAAAGGTCAATATNTCCGTCTTCACAATTTGTAAGTACTCCCATTTGCATTTAAATAATCAATGAATCCGTGAAAGACAAATTTCTCAATTTCATTGTCAAAGGTCAAGATCACGTTTTGGAGAAAAATAAGTATTCTTTTGAAATGAGTGAAGATAATGATAAACATTGACGCAGCATCGTGTATTAATCTACGCGTTTTATAATTTATAGAGGACCACCAAGAAAGAGAGGAACACGAAAAACAATTGAAATCTACTTTTGCTTATTCGATNAAAGGTTGTCTCCATCTATATATATTGATGATTATTGGATGGAAAACATAACATTAACAACTATAAACAAATTCCAGACTTCCAAAACATCAAAACATTTTAGAAGTTTTCATTGTGCATTTTGGTCTTATGGTTCTTTGTTATTGTTTGGTGATTAACCTTCAACTCCTTGGATCTAAGAACAAGAGAGCTAACATGTACTAACAATAAGGGGTGCTAATGTATTCTACTAATAAGTATTTGTAGGAGTCGAAAATTGGTTAAAAATCACGTCCAAGAAAGTTCTTATTGAATAAGGAAAGTTTGCTTCACACACGCATATTTTTTTTATGCACAAAAGTCAATATTTTAGGTATAGCTTTCTCTTTCGATAACCGATTAAAGCGATTCGAAGTGTATTGAAAAGCTAACTCAAAGGGTTATAACTTAGTTATAAATAGAAATTTTCTAATTTGAACACTTATTGTGCCAAAAATGGATCTCATTTTTTTACTGAAAACTTGTACGATTGAAAATTGATTTGTGATAATATTTTGATCATATTCCATTCCTTTTTACTTCTAATTTCATCTAATAATAAACTATTAAATATTTGTAATTGATCCTTAAACTTTGGATTTCGCCATTTTTCCTTTATTTCTTCAAATTTCCTGTTCAACCATTGAATTTTACGTATATAACATAAAATACAACAATTTAGGATATATTTTATCAAAAGAACCATCAAATATCGTTATTTTAAATCATGATTAAGTATATAAATACACTTATCAGTAGTGGGTGGTGTAAATATATAATTTCGATAACATGTTTCTAATTTTTGAAAATTGTGGTTTGTAACTGTGGTTTCGACTAATTGGTGGAGTTTTCAGTAGAGGCAAAGTGGTGGTAGTGAGGGTGTAGGTTATTAAGCCCCTGTTTGTTCAGCATTAATTTTACATATTTAGAAAAATTCCAACAGTTGTCGCCACCATTTTTTATTCTTTATCTCACAGTTGGGACCCACATTTGAAAATAACGGTCTTTTTTTCTACTTTCCACCTGAATAATGAGCACCAAACAGGGGCTAAGTTATAATTTCAAATAATTACATACTCGTGTGACATGATTTAAATGAAGTTAACATATGATGTAAGTTATATAATTGCAACTTATTAAATGTTGGGGTTCTTAAAAAAATTATAACATCTCAACAAATTATAGAAAATTTACAAGATATAAAAAAACTACATACATGTCAAAAAATTACAGAAAAGTTAAATACATTATAACAAAGATAAAGATTAGAGCTTGTCTGACAACCATTTTGATAGGAAAAATGAGTATTGAATAATGATTTTTAGGAGAATGTATGGTTAAAAAGTATAGAAATTTTTTTTGTATAGATGTAGAATATTTGTTTTTATAATGTATCCATACATGGTCCACAATTGTGTAATTAACTCTAATTTTAACCAATTTCTCTGCTTGTATAGAAGCAAAGTGTCAGAATTTCACTAGATGCTGATGTGGCAGCATCTGGTTGGTTTGCTTTTTTTTTTTTTTTTTGCCAT